GGGCAGTGCTTCCATTGTGGGGCTCTGCAATCACCTCCCATATGCCCACCCACTAATACCATCACTTTGGGCATTAAGCTTCAATGTAGGAATTTTAGGGAGACTCAACATTCAGCCCACAGCAGCTGGGGAGCTGGACACGGGCCCCTGCCAGCCTGAGGAATGAAGGTCCTACTAAGCATCTTTGGGGGTCATTGAAGGACTGCACATGGTAGGTCCCACAAACAGGAAGCTGTTTCTGCAGGAAGAGATGCTGCTCTGTCCTTAGAGTCAGGGAAGGAGAGTGCCTTGTTGCCTGCACGTCTGCGTCTGTAGTATTATCTGAAATTCAGGGGCAAAGAGCTCTGCTCCTAAGTGGCGTTGGAGTTGGACAAAGTGGAAAAAATTCTATTTTGCTCCTCTTTGATGTATATTTCATCTTAAGTTCACCTGAGACATTTTTCCAAAGAAGACACACAGATGGACAACAGGCACATGAGAAGATGCTCAACATGGTTAATCATCAGGGAAATGCAATCAAAACCACAATGAGACACCACCTCACACCTGTCAGAATGGCTGTCATCAAAAAGACAACAAACGGCCAAGCGCTGGTGAAGATGTGGAGAAAAGAAGCCCCCGTGCACTGTTGGTAGGAGTGCAACTTGGTGCAGCTGCTGTGGAAAACAGTCTGGAGGTGCCTCAAAAAACTAAACATAGAGCTGCCTGCAATTCCACTCCCAGGTACATATCCTGAAAAGAAAACAAAAACACTAATTGAAAAAGATACATGCACCCCAATATTCACTACAGCATTGTTTACAATAGCCAAGATATGGAAGCAACCTAAGTGTCATTCAACAGACAATTGAGTATTACTCAGCTATGAAAAAGAATGAAACCTTGCCATTTGCAGCAACATGGATGGACCTGGAGGGTTTTATGCTGAGTGAAATAAGTTAGAGAAAGACAAATACTGTATGATATTTATATGACTCTAAAAAGTAAAACAAACTAGTGAATATAACAAAAAAGAAACAGACTCACAGATGTAGAGAACAAACCAGTGGTTACCAGTGAGGGGGGGCATGGTAGGGGTTATGGAGGAGTTAGAGGCATAAACTACTATGTGTAAGTAAATAGGCTAACGTTATACTGTACAGCACAGGAATATAGCCAGGATTTTATAATAACTATAAATGGAGCATAACCTCTAAAAATTGTGAACCACTGTGTTGTGCACCTGAAGGTAACATAATATTGTAAATCAACTGGACCTCAATAAAAAATTCGATATATCTGTGCAACCTTCATATCTGGTTGTTAATATGCAGAGGGCACAAGATGTAAGAGCAAATTATTATTATTTTAAACACATGGGCTTATCAACAACATGAATCAGTCTTTCCTTGGTGGATGAAGTTCTGTTTTCTTTAATAACAGCTACTAATTAAGCAACAGAATAGTTTACCATGACATTAACCTTGTTCTAAAAGAATCATTAATGTGTAAAATCAACAGTTTGGAAAGCACCTGGACCTCACAGTCAAAGCCTATTTCATGGAACTGTCTGTTCTTTATCCAGAGAAGTTGAGTTTATGTAGGATTATCTACAATCTGGAAATCTGATACTGAGAATAAGTGAGCAGAGTGTTTCACACGCTTGATAATTCGCCAACCTGGCATCTTTTCTTCTGAAGGCCCTTCTCACTTACAAATTCATTCTGAGCAAAATTTCACATTTGACAGTGTTTTGATGTATAAGTCCTTCTAGATATTTTGCATTTTGACAGCAAACTCCAGAGTTACAGTGCAAGCTGGGATAATTCGGCAAGTTTAGGTTCTGGGACAGAGCAGCTGGGAGGATTGGCTAGGGTCACAAGGAGCAATGTTATCAACGCTTGGTGACGGTTACTGAGTAACCAAGGACGGGCTGTGCCTGGTGCTGAAGCTTTCTGCTGTGACCATAATTTTTACTTCGCCTGCCTTTACTGTATCCTTTTTTAATTTACAGGAGTCTTGTAAGAAACAGTCATTAAAGTTTATTCCTGAGTCCCATGTGGTTTTGCTATAATAATGCCAAAGTCCTGAGGAGGAGCATGTTGCCAATTAAATCATTATTCTCTAGCGCTTTAGCCCTTTGCAAAGCTCCACGGTTCAGGGGGAAGAGGTTTCATGCACTTAAAATACACATCGCCGAGCTTGAGTTTGGCCCTCAGGTTCCTCAAAAGTTCAGAATGTATCTGATCAGGTAGAAATAATTTTCAGGGATCTTTTACTGTAAACCCTGTTTGAAATAATCACAGCAGATAGCTTATAGGAAGCCTTAGCACAGATGCTGTATGTTATATAATATTATGTTACAATATAATTTTCCAACTAAGGAAAGACTGTTTTCTTTTTTGTGAGATTGTGTGTTTAGGGTTCACAGTACTTCAAGCCATCAGATCACACACTTTGCCTGTGAAATCCCACTGAACGTCGAAGAGCCTGTGCCAGAAGCCCAGGCATCTGAGCAGCAGGAGAGAAGTCAGGGGCTGCTGAATGTTACAAGCCGAAAACGTCGCCGAATCAGATGCTTCCATGTAAAGGCTGATGCTGTTCTGTTGGGGCAAAGCAGGGCCCACCTGTCCCACTGCTCCCAGGTGGTTCTGGAACAGACGCTGCAGAAGGCTGCGCCTTCCCGGCAGACAGCCTCCTACCCTTGCAGAGATCGGCCCTGCATTTCAGCCCTCAGCGCGAGGAGACACCGCAAAGGGGAGGCGGCTGCATTAGCTGATTCTCTTTCGCGGGGGAAAGAGCTGGACCGGTGTCTTCCTCCAGCCCTCCCAGTTCGGGGGCCGCAGAGATGTGCCTGTGGAATGGGAGCAGCACTTCCCCGCGGGGCTGCTGGGAAGGGAGGACACGGCACGTGGCTACGCGAGGCATGCGGGCTCATAGAACAGTTAGGCAAGAAAAAGGGGTAAAACTGTCCCCGAATATCTTCAAAAAGTTGCTGGTATTTCAGGGCTGGCGTTCTGCCCTTGGATAAAATAAGCTTTTTCAAAGCTTCAGCTAACTCTTCTTTCCGTTTACGAGAGGTGGTACTCATTCCTGATTTAAAAGAAATTAGTGAAGACGTTTTTGCTCTAAGGAAGCAAAAGTGTTTCAAACTTCCATGAAGTCCATCGCTCCGTCTCTGCAGAGGCTGATAAAGCCTGGGAAGAAAGGGAAGCAGATTTTAAAGTTTATAACTTGCCATTTGCAACAATAGAGAGCAGTGAGAGGAGAATCCAAAGCATAAACACCCCTGAGGTTTTTTGTTTTTAGATTCCACATGTAAGTGAGATCATAACAGCATTAGTCTTTCTCTGTCTGACTTATTTCACTTAGCATAATACCCTCTAGGTCCATCCATGTTGTCACAAATATGGCAGGATTTCCTTTCTTTTTATGGATGAATAATATTCCATTGTGTGTATAGTTACATACATATATATAAATATAAATATATATATATATAAAATTTCACATCTTTTCTATCCATTCATCCATCAATGGACACATAGGTTGTTTCCATGTCTTGGCTACTGTGAATAATGCTGCAATGATCATGGGGCCCATGAGGTTTTATAGATTTCTCTTTTTATCTGGAAAATTTGTAGTTGCCTTGGAAAAAGTCCCTGCCTTCATGGAGCTTCTGTGCTAATGGAAGCAGACTAACAGCAAACTCTTAAACAAATACATATATGAGACAATTTCCCACCATGATAAGTGCTGAAAAGCAAACAGGGTAACAATAAGAGCGGCAGAGGTGGCCGCTGGCTCCGTTCTTTGGGGCAGGTGGTTAGGGAGGGTCCCCTTTAGGAAAGAGTCGCAGCTCAGATCATGGGGCAGGTGTTGTAGGAAGCCCTGAAGGGCCCCAGGCAGCAGCGGGCAGCTGAGGAGGGCAACTTGTGGGGCCTCCCTGGTGGTGCAGTGGGTAAGACTCCGCGGTCCCAGTGCAGGGGACCTGGGTTCGAGCCCTGGTCGGGGAGCTAGATCCCACATGCATGCTGCAACAAAGGAGCCCTCGAGCCTCAACTGAGGAGCCCACCTGCCACAACTAAGACCCAGTGCAAACAAATAAATAATAAAAATGTGGCTTGTGATCCTGAAGCAGAAGCATGTATTTTTTTAGTTTTGCTATGAGCATCATTGAGACAATTGATGAAATCTGAATGTCTGTAGATTGGGTAACAGTATTAATTTAAAAAAAAAATTATTTTATGTTTTTTGGCCGTGCCACCACGCGGCACGCGGGATCTTAGTTCCCCAACCAGGGATCGAACCTGTGCCCTCTGCAGTGGAAGCATGATTCTTAACCACTGGACAGCCAGGGAAATCCCTTAATTTTTCGATCGTTATTAAATTATTCTGAGGTTATTATATAAAGTAAGGTTACTGGTTTTAGGATATACATGGTTTTTAGGAAGTATTTATAAGTAAAGGGGCATCCTGTCTATAACTTAGTCTCAAATAATTAAAAAAGCTTTATAGATAATGATAAAAGCAGGTTCGAGGAAATGTAACAAAGGAATTTGAGTGAAAGGTAAATGGGAATTTTACTAACCTTACAACTTTTTTGTAAGCCTGAAACTTATTTCAAAAAGTTTAAAAAATTAAATTGCAGAGGCATTTTAAGAAATGACCTCAAATTTAATAAGTAACAGCACTTTCTTAAACTAAACATTTCCTAACCTTGTGCTAAGAGTGAGTCATTACCTTCTGGGTTTCTTCATTCTTGCTGGTGTTTGATTCCTCGGGTGGAGTTGGTTATATTTATGATGGATACTGGGAGTACAATGGCTTGTGTATGTGTGTAAATCAAGTAAGGCTGTTCCAACTAGCAAGTCTGGGTATCTTTCAGGGTCAAAATTGGAGGGAAAAATTCAAATGCAATTACATTATACTGTAACATTTAAAACATATATTTGTAGGAATTGAGCTGAATTGTATTGTCCTCATAAGAAAAACCTACATTCTACTTATTTTGTTCACAGGAACATGGTCGGGCACTGACCATGTACCAGTCGTAAGCACTGAAGATTGGGAGGAAGACGAGCCAGGATCTGGCCTGGGCAGCCCACATCTGTACCAACAAACCACCTTCTACAAACGGGAAGGTGCCGGGGAAGGTGCCATCTTTCCTGCCCCGATACTCCTGAGGGTAAGTGCGGAGGCTCGGCCTCCAAGGGCAGAGCTCTCCCGTGACTCACCCTCTTCCTCTCCTGCTCCGCTGCCTACAGACACCCAACAGGCATCTGTCGGCTCTGCCCTGACAGGATGAGTCCCTCCTGGCTCTCGGAGCCCCCCAGACCACGTCGCAATTCCACAAGTGACCGGAAATGCGCCCAATTGAATAAGTTTAGATCCACCATAACAGAAGCCTCATTATGTTAATTCAACTCAGATTCCCGGAAAATCAAACTTTATTTGCAGCCATAAGTTCCATGTTGGTATTGAATAACAAGGTTTAAAAAAATATCACTACTGTGTTACCTCAGGGGGAAAGCATCTTAGTCAACAGATAGGAGCGCCCCAGAAGGTTCGGGTACTGAGCACACTCGTCACTTAACTTCCTATGTTCTAGCCATGACTGCAGGCGGAGGGTTCACTTTGGTGAAAGCCTGTCTTTATTTCCTGTATCACTCGTCTGTGATCTACAGAACTGTGTCAAGGAAGCAGCTCCAGAACCTGATGGCAGCAATGCTGTTTGTTATTGTTTTTGTTTAGTATTTATGTATTTTGGCCATGCCAGGTCTTAGTTGCGACACGCGGGATCTTCCTTTGCAGTGTGTGGGAATCTTCAGTGCGGCATGCACGTGGGATCAAATTCCCCAACCAGGGGTCGAACCCGGGCCCCCTGCATTGGGAACCTGGGAGTCTTAGCCGCTGGACCACCTGGGAAGTCTGCAGCAGTGCTCTTTCACTTAGCTTGTAATTGTGCAAGAAGGCACTCTTGTTGTGACCTTACTCAGAATGCAGTTTGGGGGGAAGATCAGCTCTCGCCGTGGCCCCGGGACATTTCCCAGTTGGTTCAGGGAACTTGGCCTCACAACGCCCTGCACACTGTGGGCCCCGGTGTAGTGTGTGCTGTCCACAGCTCGTCAGTGGCCTGAGAACCAGCCACCTTGAGCAACTCGGGCTGGGAACCGCTCAGCGCGTGGCCTCAGACTCCTCTCCCCAACGGTCTCCCTTCTCAGCCCAATTCTGGAAGCGCGAGCAGCGTCCACACACACCGGACAGAGTTCTACTCAGAAGATTCAGCGGTTTCATTTCAGACTCGTCTCTCGCACCCTCTGGTGATGCCCCAGCCTGACTGCCGCTGAGGCACCGTGACCCCCAGGACAGAATGGGGACCGCCGGAGCTGCTCAGATGACCTCTGAATCCCACGCCCACATTAGCATTTTAAGGCTGTTCAAACACTCAGATCTATCACTTTCCATGAATGCTTTGCTAATGAATGTTGATTATAAAAAAGGCCAAACTCATGGAGACTTGAATGTTCCAGGGGTTACTTGTTTATCTCCACCTGAGATTTCAGCCTATGGTGGTTTTATGAGAATGACTGCTAGAATTGAAATAAATTTTGAATAAGATGAAATGTATTATATCTTAGTGAGTTTATGACTTACACAAAGTACTTACCGTCATGAATTTCCATGAAAGCAGTGTTTATTAAAGCTTTTTTCTTAATGAAAAATAATGCCTGATAACCAAGTATTACTTATTCTATCATTTATTGAGGAAAAAGTTTTACATATTAGGGTGAAGCAGTAGAAAGCAGTGACCCGGAACCCCATCATTTCCAGCCTCATGTAGCCAGGAGAACAAGCCCTGAGGACTCAGTGGGGACAGCGCTGGCATGCACCTCCCCACAGGAGGGATGTGAACACCCGAGCATCTCCAACGGCCATGACAAAGTCCAGCACAAAACCATGACCCAGACCGCTGTCTCCAGAGAAGATCGCACCCTGTCTGTGCCTACACACAGCTCAAACCTGGTGCTAAAGAAACGGCACTTGAAGAAAACAGTCGTACTATATCATGCTCATAAACTGGCACAGTGCTCTTTACTTAAAATGTTAAAAAGAGGAACACACACGCTTCCCTAGAAAACAGAACCCAGGTTAGAAAATTTTTATGCAGCCAAGTAATGACTTTGAGGCTCTTTCTCCCGCCGGCGCTGCTCGTGGGGCTTCAGAGCAGGCGCACTGTCTTCCCAGTTACCGTCAAGAAGTCATCATCCGCCAAGGCACGCAGCGCTTCTTCAAACATATCCTTGGTAACTGCCTTTGGGGAAGAGAAGAGGAAAAGAACTGGACACGTGGAGCTGCCCTCCCCACTTAGAGACACAATGGTTTCCAAGTTAAAGAACCACCGGAGTCTCCTTCCTTCCTGGTGGCTGTACACACGTCTTAACGCTCCGTCTTGGGAGTGGCAAACGTTTCCTGCCAAGGGCCAGGAAGGGAGGGCGTTAGGGCAGCAGGCAAGACTGGACCCGACCAGCAGAGCTCTTGCCATGAACTCAGCTTTCCTTGTAACAGCAAGAGACTGCAAATGCTCTAAGTGCCCACCAAATGGTTAAGTAACTCACGGGGGAGGCATGAGGTAAAGTGCGTAAGTCATGAAGTGGATTCTGCGTCACAGATGAAGCTAAGAGTACTAACTGACACGGCTCAAAACCATGCATCCACATCCACACAGAAAACTGAAAGCCCAACACAATTCTCATCGCAATCATTCCCTGATGGTGGGTGGTGATCTCACTTCTCTTCTTTATCTGTAACTACTTAAACAATTTATTACTTAAACTACAAACGAAGGAAAAAAATTAGAAAAAAACTTTAAAGCAGCATCAAGGGAAAAGAAAACTCTACTAAACAAAATATACACATAAACACTTACTATATCAGACTGTCCCCGAATATCTTCAAAAAGTTGCTGGTATTTCAGGGCTGGCGTTCTGCCCTTGGATAAAATAAGCTTTTTCAAAGCTTCAGCTAACTCTTCTTTCCGTTTACGAGAGGTGGCACTCATTCCTGATTTAAAAGAAATTAGTGAAGACGTTTTTGCTCTAAGGAAGCAAAAGTGTTTCAAACTTCCATTACTATTTCTTTAGTCATAAATCAACTATACTCTTAAAAAAAAACAACAACTGTTTAGTCATGTCACCAAATAAGGTTAGGGGACAGTCGGAGCAAGTTCTGAATTCTGTTCCCAGTTTCTGAAGAGCTTATTTATAGCTGCTCCTTTCCACTGAGACAGTCCAGGCAATGAGCACAGAAGCGAGCCCCGTTCGCTGGGGAAGAACCGCTCCTCTAGGGGCGTGGTGCCCGGAGGGCGGGCAGCACAGGACCAGGTCACGTGCGCCAACATCTACCTCCTCGGCACCCCCGTCACGTGCTCAGAGGGCCCGCGCAGCCCCACCTGTGGTGAGGATGGAGATGTCCACGATGCCCGTCCGTGGGTCGGTCGCTGACTGCTTCAGGGCCTCCCGGTGCAGGCGCTTGGCCTCCTCGACGTCGATCGCCTCCACCTTGCTGGAAAACCGCACCTTGGCGTGGGCTTCGGCCAAGCGGGTCAGCGACTCCAGCTGTCGGGGGTACGCGGACACCATCCCTCGGCTGCTGCCCACCTTCCTCATGTCCACGTAAGCCTGGCGAGACAGGGGACACGCCAACTCCTCACACGATGACCTGAGGGTCGTGCCTGGACTCTGGCCAGTTGGGCTCCCGTTAAATAACCCCCTGGGCAGGTAGGTCCTGAGGGGAGCGAGAGCGGGTGCAGCCTTGGGCCTCGAGCCTCGTCTGGGGAGGCGCGGGTGCAGCTTCAGGACGGGACTGGGCAGCAAGGGTGTGCGAAGCCCGGCACCCAGAGGACACGGCGTTGGGAAGGGCAGCTGAGGACTCCGGTCTGTTTGTTTACACCCCTGCGAGGAGCAGGCCAAGGATTAGCGGGGCAACACGCAGGAGGTATATTGTCTAAACCCATATATGGATGACGTAACTCCTTCAAGATGACAGAGACGGAAAACCGCGTTATCACTTGTAACTTTCACTTGAGCATCTTCAGGGCTTTGTCAGGATGTAAAGCCCATCAAAGCACCAGGAACCTTCTTAGTGTCACAATGTCTACTGGGTATATGTCATCATGCACTGCTGCCCACTTAAAAGGTACTAAGAAGTGTACTTAAAATACTTAATTTTTTAGAAACGAGCAAATGCAGCCCAGAGACCAGAATTACAAAGTCACTAAGTAGCATCACCTATATTTCAACTCAGGTATCTTGGTCTAAAATACACTGTGCTTACAAGTATTTAAATACAAAAAGAGTGTGCACAATGTGTAGAAATGAATCCTTTTCCCCTTTCTACATTTGGAAAACTCGATTTTGCAACACAGGAGGGAAGACAGTCATAGAAGTTTCAGAGGCTGTTTTAGAGGCTGAGCAGCCCCACGCTGTGCTTCGGGCCGCAGGTACCTCGATGAGGGCCTGGCTGGCGTCCTGGCTCAGCCGCGGCAGGACGGCACTGCGCGCGTAGGCGATGTAGTCCCTGAGCACCGCCATGTCCATGACCTCCTCCTGTGCCTGCTCCTCGCTCCGGAAGTACAGGGACACCAGGTGGTGAGCCAGACGCCGGTCGTACGCTTCGTCCTGAGGGTCCAGCATGAGGAAGATCAAGTCAAACCTGAGAAAACATCGTGAACAGTTTTCCCAGCTGGGACACCCACGTACCTGTGCGTGGACCCCGGGGCCCGCAAGGGAGGCAGGCGTGTCCTGCCCAGGCGGCCTGAGGAGCCCGGGCCTCCGGTTCCCCTACCCCGGCCCTGCAGGCCCCTTCTGCCCAGGAATACCGGGCACTGAAAGCTGAGCCAGAAGCAAGATGCTCCCAAGGGAAACGCTGCTGTAATTCTGAAGACCGGAAGATGCGAATGAAAATACATTCAACTCTTTTGGGGAGAAGGAACTACCGTTAGAACAGTCAAGTAATCAAAGTCTAAACATATCTATCTTTGAGGAAAAAGTATGGACTACGTGACTCCCCCTTCCACAAGTTTAATTTTCAGACCCTTATCTACTGTGTAAAACCGCTCTCTGCACTTTGTTGATTTTCTACAGCAGCTTTAAGACTGAGAGCAGCGAGAGGTGGGTTTCTGAAAGGATGAAGGTGAAAGGCCCTAATTGCTCCAAAAAACAAGTACGCATCAAGGTGAGCAGAAAAACACACCGTCCTTGCCTGGAAAACCCGTGACCAAGCAGATGTGCAGGCTTTGTGTTGGCCTGAAGAGTTTACGACATCAGCTGGGCTCTGCCTTGTATTTCCTTCTCAAGCTCACCCTGAACATTCCACGGACGAGCAAAGTGAGACCATCTATTCTATGAAAACGTGTTTTCGTACCTTGACAACAGTGTGTGGGGCAGCTGGATATTCTCAATGGTGGTTTTTTTCGGATTCCACTGAGACTCGATAGGGTTTGCGGCTGCCAGGATGGAGGTGCGGGCGTTAAGCTGACAAATAATCCCAGCCTGGCGGAGGGACAGTGTGGTTAGAAACCTCGCCCCGAGGCCAGCAGGAACTGTGAGCCACCTCTGCCCGTGTGCCCTCTGCCAGGGATCCGCCGTCACCACGAGCCACGTCACCCGGCACAGGTGATTTCTGCACAGGCGTCCCCCTGGGGACAGCCCTGAGCGCTGAGTCAAGCCAAGGACCGGGCTGTAGATGAACGTTTGCTGCGACTGCGTCTTTTTCAGTAACCAAACCCCTTGCATTAGGACAAACTCAAGTTCTACGAGTACCACACATGAGAGGGTTAGGACAGCACAAAGGAAGAAAGAGGATCCTGTGGAAAATACTGAGACTGAGCTGGGACCTAACAGGAGAAGTGTTGGCCAGTTTCCCAAGCTGCAGGTTCCACAGATGCTGAGGTTCAAGCCCCCCGACACCCCAACTGTGTCCACGCCGGGACAGAACGGGCGACTGACCTTGGCGATGGAGAGCGTCTGCTGCTCCATGACCTCGTGCAGGACAGAGCGTGTGCTCTCGTTCATCTTGTCGAACTCATCGATGCAGCAGATGCCGTTGTCACTCAGCACCAGGGCGCCGGTCTGCAGCACGAGCTGCCGTGTCTCAGGGTCCTTCATGACGTAGGCGGTGAGGCCCACAGCGCTGGAGCCCTTCCCGGACGTGTACTGGCCCCGGGGGACCAGGTTGTACACGTACTGCAGCAGCTGGGACTTGCTGGTCCCTGGGTCCCCGCAAAGCAGGATGTTGATCTCGGCGCGGAACTTGCCCCTTCCTGTGTGACTGAAATCCTTTCTTGTCCCGCCAAAGAGCTGAAGCAGGATTCCCTGGACGGGCGGACAGACAGAGAGATCTCAGTGCTCAGATGGACAAAGGGCGACAATGAAGAGATCAGAGGACGGGAGCGGCTGCAAGTCAGCCCTGGGGCACGGATGCCATAGGGGCCCGGACCCCACCCACCCCATGGCGGCTTCTGTGCCTGGAAACGAGACGAGGATGCCGACCATCCTCATCACCAACAGCCAAGGCAGGTGGCAGGCCCTGCTCGGCCCAACGGGCCGAGGCTCAGCCTTTCCGGGGTGTCCACACTGTCTGACCCGAGAGCTCTCAAGCCCAGCCGCAAGTGAGAAGCCCATCAGTCACCTTCTTTATATCTTCATGCTCATAAATGCTCGGAGCCAAGGCGGAAGCGAGTCTCTCA